AAAACATTTGTTTTAAAGAACAACTGAGACAGGAGGAAAGTAGCATATACCCTGTATTGTCATAAAATCACTTGTTACTGATCTAAAGTGATGTAGAACAAAAAAGCAGGGGCAGTAAATGAGAGTCACTCTGTGTGGAGATAAAAAGCAGAACTCTTTCCCTGGTCTTGTTTATCGCTCATTGGTTGTAATTAGTGTCGATTTCCATGAGGAAGAAGAATTAACATCTCACTTAAAGCCAAGAGAAGAAGTCTGAGGGGGCAGAAAAGAAAGAAAAAGAGAAATGTTTCTGTCTTTGTCTTGTGCCAATCTTCCCAAGCGTTTTGTTCTTAAGGGAAATTTTACGCCGATTTCTGTGAAACTGACATTTTTCTCTCTAAAGCCAATTGCTCCTGTAAAAAGCATGACAAGTTATTGAACATCACTGAGTTCTTTTGCTTAAGAAACAACATGTTGAGGGCTTTGAGTCACCACTTCTCCGAGTTCTCTTTCCACTGAAGAAAGAAATGTCATCACTTTTCAAAAAGTTAAATCAAATACTCTCAGAAGACGTTTTAAAACCAGTTTGCTGACATCATCTGAGTACCATCAGGGTCATAACCCTTAATGGAAAATATTGTTTTATATTTTCCTCTCATTTCCTCTGAGCAGGAGCTCTTACCAAGGTAATAAAAACTGTTTGTTCTGCTAATTGCTCTGAGCGAATGAATGTTTTTCAAGACGCTAGAAGATGTGATTTGCATCCAATGTTGGAAAGAAGTTGCACTTGAATATAACACTTTTTAAGAAGTTGCTTGATTCTCACTTTTCTGTCCTTGTGTCATCTCCCCTTTATTTCCAAATAGAACCCGTTTGAGTACTTAAAGTCTTTGCTAACATTCTACCTTTTCTACCTTTTTATCTATTCAAAAAACGTCTTTTGCAACATTTTATTTTAAACAACCCTCTTTCCTTTCTCCAGCCGATACTCTATTGTTGTGTTCATAATCTTTGACTTATTTACCTCCTCCTCATTTAATAGAGAGTTCAGTGTAAAGGACCGTCTTATTGGTAAAATTAAAACACTTTTAAGATCAGTTTCTCCGCACTTGTATTCATGTCTTGGTGTCTCTCTTTTATTTCAGCGTAATGCATGGTGGTATAAAGTGCCGGTGTAGCAGCCCACATTAACCCCCCACCACACTATACCTGGGGTTAAAGTGGGATCCCAGTTTGTACCCTGGGGTTTATTTTGGGCTATACCTCTCTAGTCCAGATCATAACCCCTTGAGTTTTTCACAAATAAATCTGTATTTCAATGTTCATATTATTTTCTTCAATCATAATCTATATATTTTGGGTTAGACAAGACAATATATCTCCTGTCCAAATTATACATCCTTGTTGTTTTTCATAAAATAAGGTAACTCAGGGGAATAATATACTGGATTTAGTATTTGGTAATGGATACAATACAATTACAAAATAGAAATTGGAGTAAATAATGTTCACAAAGTAATCATATCTGAATTTAACTTAATAAAAGAGATTATTTTAGGATGAATGATTAGCCAGATAGTCTTAAACCCCGGATTAAGCCTACAGAGTGGGTACATTTTGAACTGTTGGTTTGTGACTGTCACTTGTTGTTCACAAACTTTCCCAATGCATTGTGGTATTAATAATCCACCATAGCCCTTTGTACATGGTCTGTTCAAGGCGGGGCCTGTTAAACCACTGTTAGCTTCGTCTTAAATGTAAAACATACAGAGGTGTAATGTTGGGGCAAAGTCTTTCTGCTGGAAAGTCAGCATCAGAGGTAATAACATTGGCTTAACAGGCGAATGGCATCACTGTAAATTGTCATAGCCAGGACAAAACAGCGCTGCCTGAGTGCGTGTTTTTGTGAAAGAGTCTGTATCTGTTTGTAGATAAGTAACTGTATGTCAATTCTTTCATATGTAGAGGACATATAGAAGATAAAAAATGCACATTTCCAGTGTCACAGAAAAACAACAAAAAACACTTTACACATTTTTGGTGCAATGTTGTAACTCTGTTTAAAATCACAGACTGGGAAGACAATATTAGGCCATTGTGTGGTTCAGTGTTATTACATTGGCGTTGTAATGGCAGAGCTTTGTTTCAGCACTGTAGCACAGGCTAATCGCTGTAAAAAGGGCTTATAATGGGTATTATCATTCTCACTACATTTGGACTGCATTTTGAAATGGCTATCTCCATCTTCCACTTTAAAGTGATTAGTGAATGATTTTGTATACACGGCCAGTGTTATGTGCTCCAACACATACACAATACACATGCCTCTATCGTGAAGCCGTGCATTGTTCCATGCTGGGTATTCCTGTGTACTTTATCTTCAGTGTGAAGAAGTGACAGTATGAGAGAAAAAAGTGAGAGACAGACAGAGAAGAATCACAGACAGCGACACAGATGAACAAAAGTAAGGGAAATCAGCATCCACGTGACAGTTAACCTCATGAGCTCAGAGTCAGAGCAGCCTGAGCTGGCAGCTGAAGGCAGACGGCCACAGCGAGCCCATGGTGCGACCCATCTGTGCCGGGTATTAAAGAAGCCTCGCACCCCAGGGTCAGAGCCACCATGCCGGGTAATAACTACACAGACACAGGCAGAGTCCTGAGGGGGCCGACATGTCGCCCACTGGGACGACAATGGCAGCTTGGTTAACACAAACACACACTTCATACTCCCACACATGCAACAAATGCACTGAAATACTCACCTTATATGTTTGTCTGCCTTGCAAAAACACATTAATGACACTTTACTCCACATGCGAGTGATCGCATAACACCGCTCCTCCCTTTTCTTAAAAACAGTGTGACACACACTCGGCTGTGAGCAGTGTTGTTTTTCTTCTCTGGACCTATTTGAAGCTCTGGTAGGACATTGTTCTGTGTTTACATCCTGTTGTGTCCACCGCTGTGCGAGTATGTTTTGCATCGGTTCAGGTGTGTGTAAAAGGGACTGTGTGAGCGTGTGTGTGTGTGTGTGTGTGTGTGTGTGTGTGTGTGTGTGTGTAAGTAAGGGTCAGAACGAGGGCAAAGTAGCAATGTATGTTATTCATCTGGCGTTAAGAAGCCTATTTATTTTCTACATGTATTTAGTTGCCTACTGGCTAGAAAACAGGCATCAAAATAGAATAGAGTGGAAAAAAGGGAATTTTGAAAATAGCCCGAGGCATTGATGGTGTGTAGTGGTGGAGGTGAGACGGAGGTTACATAAAATGATAGCTTAGCATCATCTTCATGGCCTGAATTATACCAAGTATTACAAATCATAAGATGGGGCTTCAGAGAGATGAAAGTCATTTCAATATAACTTTGTAAAAGGAATGGAAAAACACCAATCCATTCTGTTTGCTTGTCCTATTAACCTCTGTCATGTTGCCTTAGAAAGATCAGCAACAGAAAACTCCATTAGAATTAAAAAAATACATTCAAACTGTACATTTATTTGACACTTTTCTGTCCTAAGTGTTGTTTTCCCTGAATCTCAACTGTGTCCCTCCTGATATTAAGCTTTCAGTTGTGTTAATGGAAATTCACAACAGTCCATTCAGTGATACTATAAAGAAACCAAGGGAGAAAATGTGACAACAAGAACCTCAGGAGGTTTATTAGCAGTTTGTTTTAGATTCAGTGTTAGTGTAGAAATCCCACAAAAATGTAGCTCTTAGTTTGAGTTCAGATTCATTCCATGAAGTATAGCTTTAAGTTGTTTTTTTCAGTTTGTATGACTTAAAATAATACATTATTCATCTATTTTTCCAACACTGAAGCTATATGATTTGTACATACAATGAATTATGAAACATTATGTTACATCACATAGACATGTTTTTGAATCTTTGACATCACATCTGCATTTTATCTTCTGAATCCTGAGGTGGTAGAAAAGTAGTGAAATGTATACAAATACATTGTCTTAAGGACTTAAGCAAAATCTGTTGGTATCATTTAAAAAAAAAAAAATGTGCACCTTCTTTCAGATTTGAACCCAGGCAGCCCACTTGTAAGACTATAGCCTCTGTACATGGGGTGCACACCCTATTCACTCGGCCGACAGCGCCCCTATCTGAAGGTATTTTTATGGCCGCTTTTCCATTTGAGGTAACTTTATATACTTACAATTCCACAACAAACCAATTAGAAGTGTTACATTTGTTTTACTCAGCCATATTTATTGAACAGCTCTACATACTAGCTTCTTTGGAAATAAATGATGGGATGTTAAAAAAATAACAACATACGAACAGCTAATAAATTGTGATGCTGTGTTATAGTTGCGTCTACCAAGTAGAATATGAAAGAGTGAAATTCACCCCTTAAAAGCAGATTTCTTAAGGCCTATTCGCTGTTGTTTTGTTGTCTCCTAAATCCAAAACCACAAAATCGGCACTAGTTAATCTGAGGGTATCTGATGGCTGGTTTAAGACAACAAGAAAATGGTGTGAAAGCATGGTCATTAGGCCTCAGTCCAAATGGTAAAATATACCCATGCTGGGGCACAAAGACTTGCTTGTTTACAAAAAACTGTTTTTCTAAATGATTGCAACAAAGACAGACTTTGTGCAATGTGTTGCAGATGCTAAGATTACAGGAATTGTTAATAAGGTGCAGCCCTACTCTACACATCCTTTGGTTTTCGTTTTTTTTGTACCAGTTCAGAGTCAGGTAAGGACAGAGGTTAGGAGCCGAGCTGGCTGTTATTTTTAAAATTGGACACTAAATCTTTGTTTAGATCTCTTCCATTCGGACTTTCATCAGAGTTAAATTAGCTTGAGATAGAGCTGAATGAGTTTTGTTTCATGCAGACTGTCTCTATCCCGCGAACCGAGAGAGAACTTGACCTTAGTTTGGGAGGAGACACACTCTCCCTGTCAATCCTCCCTCATTTCCACTCTGCCTCCTCTCTTTGCTGTTCCTCTTGTGTCCGGTAGAGGTCGCAGCCCTGCAGCTTCTCTGTGTCCGGGAACGCATGGATGTGTGTGAGCGCTCCCTCATGACAAAGCTCCAGCGCGTCTGGAAACCAGGGACGGAGCACGAGCGTTTCGGGAGAAACCGTCGACAAGATCAACTCTGTGTGTTTACCTGCGTAACAGCTCGCTGAAAAACTACTTCAGTGACCGACTGACTTTTCATTTTTTTCTCACTGGTAGCTACTCCTCGCTTCCCCCCCCTTATTCTCCAAGTGAACTTTATAGGGATGTTAAATGTGAGCATCACCGTGCTGCTAAATACAAAGATAGTGCTGAAGAAAGTGTAGGACGGATGCTCTCTTTTACTTCTACTTTTTCTGTTTAACACACGAGAGGAAAAAAGAGGGAGCAAGAGAGAGACAGACAGAGAGAGAGAGGGAGAGAGAGAAAGATAGAGCGCGTGTGTGAGCAGGAGAGAGAGAGAGAACTCGCACCGGTTTTTGGAGCTACGCTTTCATGCCGTCAGTCTTGCGGACTCTGAGATGGACGTCAGATTTTATCCAGTTCCCCCTTCAAGCGTGGGTTCATGTACGTTACCGACTGACTCCGGTTTGGACTATTACCACTCCAACAAGGTAAATATAACCTCCACTTTGAGAGCTTTTATTTGGACAGATGTGCAGCTTTCGGTGCGATGGTGCACACAGTCATTGGTTACACATGGTGGCCTATATACTGCAAATATATATATGTAACCATTTTATATCAGATCTGGTTTAATGTTTTAGGCATGAGGCAATTAGTGACAAGTGTTGCACTTTTCTTTCTCCCTCGGGATGAAGTAGACTGAAAAGAGTCTTTAAGCTTCACGATCAGTGAACTTTGCAGTATTTCTGAAGTGCATGTTTGATCTCATCTCTTCTGAGCTCGTGCATTCAGGTTTTCCCTTTGATTAGATTTTGCAAATGTGTTCATGAGGATAAACTGTGGATACGTTGTCCTGTAGCTGTCTTGCGAGCTGAGTTGGAGCGCAAGACGCTCTCCAAAGAACTGGATAGTCTCTTTTTGACACAAACTAGAAACACATCTAATCAGTGTTTTTAAAATCTTCAATCAAAATATTGTTACACAATCATATTCCTCCCTTTGTAATTTAAAGCTTTTCCGAGCTAACAACGGAAATACATTCTTATCAGCTGCACACACGGGTCAATGCACAATTAGTCCCAAACTATCAAGATTGCCTTTAAATAAGGCGCGTGTGACGGGTCTGCTGTGCCTAAGATTTATATTCTGCAGTTTCTGACTGAATATTCTACAGATGATGTGTGTTACTTTGCTTTTTAGCTCGATTTAAGAGTTGCCAGACAGAGACTGCTGTAGCAGCTTTTCACGCGGATATCCAACCTTATCAGTGCGCATACTAACTTTTCAGGATTTCATCTTTATCTTCAACCTATGCTAGTGTTTACAATTATAAAGCTTGGGGTTTTTATAATAACTAGAACATCTGAAGAGCTCGTTTCAGAAAGGGCACAAGTTGCCAATTGATCGTGCGTTTTTACGCACGGGTTTGTATCCAATATAACTGAAAGCTCTGACACTTAAAAGAGGTGTCATAAAATATTTACCACCAAAAAGATTCTCGTAAAGTAAAGCAACACGGTGAGTTTGCATCAGTTTGGTTTTTATCACTAAATGTTGTGCTGAATTTGTCAGTTGTTGTTGAATGTCATGGGCCCTTCACTCTTTCCACGAGGTGTAAAACAGTAGCCTACTCTACAGATGAAGTTGTTGCATGTATAAATTATAAACCTACAAAAAAGTCCAAGATTTCTAGCAATGTGGGATTATTTTTTCATGTGGCGGAGGTTAAACTTGTGTAAACACTGGGCAGAGCTAAAGGAGGCATTACACCAGCAGCCATTCAAATAGGTTTGCTTGCCTTAGCACCTGGAGGGGAGCCAGCAGGCAGTTAACATTCACTGATGACAAAGTGAAACATTATAGCAGCCGCACAATATTTGAATTGTTAATCTCCCCTGTTCATACACACAGTCACCTGCATGTATACCATACTTGTAGACACACACTCTCACACCCACATTTCAAACCCACACTCCCTAGGTTTGAATTTCAATACACGAGTGCTTTACATCACCTATAGTCATTCCTTAACCCCTGAGCTACTGTAATGTCAACTTTAAGCCTTAAACTGTAACATAAAACTGATCCTCACTCTGAAATTTTAAATAAAAATGGGGCCTATTCTCACATCCAAGGGTTTATATAATCCGCCATGTCTTTAATATCACACACAGACACGCACACACACGCACGCACGCACAAAAGCTGCAGCCTAAATGTAAGATCTCTATGTGACCCTGCTCTCTGGCTGTGTCTCATGGTTGTGGTGTTAACACAATGAACAGCACTTGTTGTCATGATTCAGCGAGCGTAGAGGTTGTTGGCCCGCTAAGAAGCAGCTTTGGGTTTCAAGGACAGAATCATATAACGTTGCCATTACTAAAGTAACAGCAGAGACTAAGATGTAAAGTGACATATTATCTGTGCTGCTGCACATAGACTGTTGAATTTTGATGCAGGAGCTTTATATGATGATTTGGCAATAGTTCATATTTGTGGCAGTTTCATTTCAGGGGCCGGATGGGGTTGACCCCCTCTGGTAGCTATTTCTTACCAGTGGGCTAATGCTACTTCACCTGTAGGTTTCTATTGGAAAGCTTGCAAAAAACACATTTAAAATGTCCTAGACATAATGTAGCTATAGGGACTGCATGCATGTTTTAATGTTATTTATTTAAAAAAATACTTTGCAGAATTAAGAAGATGATCACAAGTCAATGATTTTAATAAAGCTATGATTTTTGGCAAAAGCACAAATTACATTATAAATAGTACTGCTTTATTGTCTATGCACAGCAGGGTATGAATGTGTCGATGTTTTTATCATTTACACTTGGTGGAATATACTTTGCTTGTATGAAACTCACTAGTGAAATAGTGCTTTGCTGTAAAGTATTCAATACACCAACCAGGAAGTGAGCATAACACTAATTGTTACAGTCCAAATATAAAAGCCTATCACCTCCGCTCCAAGCTGTATACACTCAAACACATTTATTTCTGAGATTAGGCTTTTTAACAATGACCTTTTTTGTTCACTTCCTGAAAGGGTTAATAATTGTGGAACGTAAAGAATGTGTAAGCTGAAACTGGTTGGAGCTGATTGGCTACATTCAGACTGATGATTGATTGATGCATGCCAGGAATATGGATCACACTGACAGGATCTGTCAATAGAGCAATTCAGTGGATGCACTTGGCCTTTGACTTTAGGGAATGGATTTTCCGGCAATCAACAAAATACAGTATGCAATGATCATAAATGTCTTGTGTGTTAGTGCTTTGTTTGCCTTTTTTCAAACTCAAATCAGACTATGATCCGAACGCATAAAGATACAGAGATTATGTGAGACAAAAAGACCTTTATGCCCCTCTTCATTTCATTGTAACTCCTTAATAAAACAACCTGCACATCCACATTTTCAGAACAATGCAAAGAACAGCACATGAGCAAAGCATCGATTTGTGTTTGTGCTGCGAGCCCCGCGGCTCTGTTGCTCTTCTCAACTCCATCCAACTCTCGTTGTCCTGCACTTGCACAATCACCGTGAGTCATCTTTACTTTTCGCCCAAGATTTCTCCTAATCTTTTTGAAGCCTCTCTGTATCTTTTTCCTCGCTGAGTGGGAGGCTTGTTTGTTCAGCGCACACTCAGCTGTGTATACCAGCGCTGAAGGCCACTTCTTCGCAAATGCCTGTTTTAGCGGCAGACTATTTGTCAAATGCATTATGACTTGTGCATACCCCCGGGCAGAATCACTCCGGTGAAATGAAGTTGGATAGATTACTGTAGCTGTTCCACTTTCTCCTCATCCCTCTTCCCTCTAACAGCACAGCGCTGAGAGAGAGAGAGAGAGAGAGAGAGAGAGAGAGAGAGAGAGAGTGAGAGGCTCTCATGTAATTATACTGTAGTTATACTGTAGCTTTATAAACCAATGGTTTGCAGATGTTATTCTTTACATAGTTGCAGCCTCTTCCCAGTTACTTTATGTTATTTATATATGCTGAAGCTGTTTTCACCGCAGTGCAAAGGAAACACTCTATTGATACACTATTTGTGCTGTTCAAGTATGCACAGATGTGATATCTCAATCAAAGCAAACTGCATGTGCGCGCAGAGCATACCTAATTGCTAATGTAGCTTCAGGCTAGATGTATGAATCACGTTTAACAAGATAGCCATCATTTATGCATCGATTCAGGTTTTCCCACATGCTTCACTTTGTAAAAGCCTTGTTGTATGTCTTTATACGTGCACAAGCAGCTGACATTTGTCCAGCACAGCACGTACAGCCCCTTTTCAAGTGGTCCGCTCCATTTCCACTACTTTCCAAATCTCTGTATTAGTCACAGGAATAGTTCAAAGTATAGCCAGGCGAAAATATTTTTAATGTTGAATTCTCAGAATGTGTTTTTTTTTTTTTTTTTTTACTTTGAAACATGACTGTAATAGAAACTGAAAAAAAAGGAAAATAGTCATTTCAGCGGTAGCTCATTCTGTAAAGAGAAGAGTTAATTACATGGAGGAAAGCATTCTTGGGTCGACAGCGTGGACTTGGGGTTTTTCATTGTGCCCATTCATAACATTCTGCTGACTGGTCAGTCCGAGTTGCAATATCCCAACAGTTCTCACTGGGAAAATGTTAACCCATGCATGGCTCTAATCACAGTGCAAAGCTGCTGAAACTGGGAATTGCGGTTTTATTGTTTAATACAGAACCCAAAGCAAATAAAAGAGAACAAAATTTAGTCATGGCTCAACATTGTATTTTGTGTTGGGAAAAAAAACCCTTACACTGTCTACTTTGTTAAGTTTTTTTTTCTTCAGTCTAACCGCTTCCTGGCACTATTCATGATCAAGTCTTTCTGTCTACCCAGCTCTCCCCCTCTTCTCTCTCTCTGCCGAACTTCGTCTCTCATTTACCTTCCCAGCAGCAATGTCAAAAGGTTATGGAGGGAAGCCGGATCGCCTGGGGCTGATTGTGTCTTTGAGTTAATGATAAGTAGCTACAGTGTTATTCTCTGGAGCAGTTGGGCTTAGATTGTGTTCTGTGCACAGACCATTACAGTGAGAGAAATCTGCATTTGTGAAGACTGTTTAAAACACAAGAAAAGGAAAAACAATACTATGTTGAGTACATTTTTTTTCACAGGAATTAGGTGGAAAACTCTGGATAATTGAGTTGAACCGTCCTTGTGCAAGCAGTGGACTTTTGCTGTGTATTGGAGAGGAAGTCGCCTTAAAATGTGGTTCTTAAGGATTCAGCACCATTTGCTGTATTCTGATGAGCACATAGTGCCACAGAGTGTACCAACACACAAGCTATTTTATATAGCAGTAATGTAGCTTTAAGCTAGCAGTAACCACTCTTAAAACTGCAATATTTCCGTGCCAATTCATTCAAATCAATATGTTGGCAGGTTACGAGTCATTGTTATAACAGTGTGGGTAAAAAAAATATACTCAAAACTATTGTTTAATAAATGGA